TGCTGTAGTTCCAAGAGGCTTTGAAATGTATTCAGTAAAAAGTACCCATGTGGGAACATGAAAGAAGTAGAAAGTACAGGTATTTGTGTTCAACATGTAAGAAGTAGAAAGTACAGGTATTTGTGTTCAACATGTAAGAAGTAGAAAGTACAGGTATTTGAGTTCAACATGTAAGAAGTAGAAAGTACAGGTATTTGAGTTCAACATGTAAGAAGTAGAAAGTACAGGTATTTGAGTTCAACATGTAAGAAGTAGAAAGTAAAAAGTTGTGTGTGTGTGTGTGTGTGTGTGTGTGTGTGTGTGTGTGTGTGTGTGTGTGTGTGTGTGTGTGTGTGTGTGTGTGTGTGTAGCTGGGGGTGGTGCAGACGGAGGGGGGGCAGGTTAAGGGAAAGAACGTCAGAGTGTCTTTGTTGTTCCGGAGCGTTGACGTCTTCAAAGGCATCCCCTTCGCTGACGTACCTGGAAAGTGGGAGAAGCCGAAACCACACCCAGGATGGGACGGTAGGTAACACACACACTCCAACAGGAAGTTATCAAACCCTCCAACAGGAAGTTATCGAACCCTCCAACAGGAAGTTATCAAACCCAAATGTGTTCTGTTTCCAGGAGTCATGAAGGCGGATACATATCGGGATCGCTGCCTGCAGGTGACGCTGCTGCAGAAAAAAACCCATGGCAGCGAGGACTGTCTGTACCTGAACATCTTTGTTCCACAGGGACGTAAATGTAGGTAACACACCAATTACATCCAATTACTTGTATATAGAAGACTCTCCTTGATCCGTCTGATTGTGTTGCTCTGTTGCCATAACTCCACTGTAGCTCTGTACGAATGACAATACAACCCTTGAATCTTGAATCAGTGTCGAAGAACCTCCCTGTTATGGTGTACCTGTTCGGGGGGGCCTTCCTTTTGGGGGCGTCTAACGATATTTCGTTCCTCGGGGAGTCGCTGTACGACGGGAAGGAGATTGCCGACCGCGGAGACGTCATCGTGGTGACGGTGAATTACCGGGTCGGACCGCTCGGGTTCCTCAGCTCCGGAGACGCCCGGCTGCCAGGTCTGAGAACATATCTTTAAACTCTTTCCATCATTTCAACAGGACCAGGATTATGAAGGGTCAGAACAACAGAACACTGACTTGTACCAAAAGAGAGGTCCATGCACGAGTCCTCAAACTCTGTTATGACTCAGCATGACTTCCTGTCCCCTGGTCTGGAGGTCAATGGTTCTCTGAATGTGTTTTTGTTAGCGATGGTGACTTGAAATCATGTGATCTAGCTGTAGTTCCTTTATAGCCCAACATTAGCCTCCTTTAGCTTAGCGGTGGTGACGTGAAGTCATGTGACCGTGCTATAGTTCCTTTATAGCCCAACATTAGCCTCCTTTAGCTTAGCGGTGGTGACGTGAAGTCATGTGACCTTGCTGTAGTTCCTTTATAGCCCAACATTAGCCTCCTTTAGCTTAGCGGTGGTGACGTGAAGTCATGTGACCTTGCTGTAGTTCCTTTATAGCCCAACATTAGCCACCTTTAGCTTAGCGGTGGTGACGTGAAGTCATGTGACCTTGCTGTAGTTCCTTTATAGCCCAACATTAGCCACCTTTAGCTTAGCGGTGGTGACGTGAAGTCATGTGACCGTGCTGCAGTTCCTTTATAGCCCAACATTAGCCTCCTTTAGCTTAGTGGTGGTGACGTGAAGTCATGTGACCGTGCCGTAGTTCCTTT